TTTCGCTATCAAAAACAAAATACCCTTAACTTGTGAGAAGGGATGATTCAGATTTGACTTTGGCTAGGTTTTAAATTTTTGGTTAGGTGGAAGTGGAATCCTGTCTGATGGTCAAAGACTCAAAGCTGAGTAGCTTTATGATCTTACAAAAAAAATGTATAAATGCCATTAATCAGCGTCGGTCCCAGATAACTGGATTGGAGACGGATCTAATCTTTGCCATTTTTTTTCTCTTACCAAGTGCCTACTTTCAATACCGAGGCCCGTATTCTCACGCTTATCGGCCCCACCTGGTAATTAATGCATGAATTGAATCGGTCATTGCTTGTTGAGAGAGTCAACTAAGGGGATGCCTAGGCTAGGCGAAAGAGTCAAAAGATTAATCAATTAAACAACTTGTGGCAAAGGGCAAAGTATTCTTCAGCTCAATCTAGAATTCTTAACAGTCCCTATATTCTATTAGTAGTTGGCCCATGTGGATTTAGTATCAATTCATTCATGTGGATTTGACATTAATTCATGATCAGGAGGACTAAAAAATTATCTCTTTTTCCTTAAAATCAAATCCACGTGTCCATTCTAAATCACGTACCATCTCAACCAGCACTTATCCAAAAGAGTACCAGGTTAGGGTTTAACTGTTAAAGCGCTTAAGGGCACAGGCTGTCGTGCGTGAGTCAAAATTTTCTCATCCGATGGTTGAGATGGTACGTGACCCAAAGTGGAGACGTGGGGTTGATTTTAGGGAAATGCAGGTTTAGGGTGTTCATCAGTTCATGGTCCGGTTTGGAAAAAATTTTATACCAAATTAATAAATTAGGTTTGAAAATTTTTCAGAATAAATCAAACCATTATAATATAGAAACCAAACCAGATTAAACTATTCTATTACAGTTTGATTTGGTATCTAATATGGTTTTGGCCATTTTATTGAACTTAACCTAATTATAAATCCTAAATAACATGAATACCAATATAAATAACAACTATAACTCATATATTATAAACAATTCCTTGAACATCAAATTATAAGATAAAAATTGAAACAAACAACAATAATATACGAAATGTTTAAAAAATATATACATACAAACATATATGTTATATATATATATATTACATACATTAAAAATATATTATTAATAATTTGGTTTAATATGAGGGTGATGGGGCGAGTACAGTGAGGAAGGAGAAGAGGCTATTGATCCCCTCGTCGAGGATTGAGTTGTTGTGGGGTTTCTTTTGTTTCTCTTGTTCTTTTTGTAATGGTTCGGTATGCTGATTTTTGAATTATGTACTTAATGAAAATGTATTCTTTTTGTTTTGAACTTGCATACCACTTCTCTCTCTCCTTTTTTTTTGCCAGTTGGGTTCCTCGGTCTTGTCGTGGCCGAGGTCTGGGGTTGGTCGAGATCTTCAATCTCTAGTTAGTGGGGCTGGAGTATCTTCCAAGCTCTCATCTTTGGGACACTCAGTTACTGGTCTCGAGAGCTTTTTGGCTCTTTAAGGGCTGGCCGTTGCTCGACTAGCTCTGGTTGGATTGTTAGTCAGTGGATGTGTGGAGTCCAATGATCGCCCTCAGGCCCTGATGGGCGGGGGCATTCTTCTCCACTTTAGACTCGGGCCATGGACAACCGAGGTAGTTTACTTGGTCGGCGATACGTTGTCGAGCTACGCATTGTGGGCTCAGGTCGTTTGAAGATCATCCGAGTCAGTGTTGTGTGCCGAGCTACACGTGTGTTGTGCAACGGGTGTTGTGTGGCCTATGTTGCGCGGCGGGTGTTGCGTGCGCGACCTGTGTTGCGCTTCGGCATGTTTTGGGGTCCTCATGGCGAGGATCATCCTTCATACGTGTCGAGGCGTGAGGCGGGACAGCCTGGTTGGGCGATGCCACGGAACCCATTGTCTGCATCATCTCAAAGATCTTGTCGACCTTTTCTTGCATTGCTTGGAGTTGCGTAGGGTCAACTGCGGGATTTCTTGGTGTGGAGAGCTGTGACGGGGAGATTCCCGAGTTGGGGATTGGCCTGTCGATCTTTCAGACTGATTCTTAGGCATCTTGATCGCTTTCTTGGTTGCGCGATAAGAGAGAAAAGATTTCAGGAAAGGATTTTTGTGCGTTTCTCACAGACGGTGCCAATCTAATGCCGCTCGATCCGAGGTGGTGCACGAATCGATAAAGGTAGTCAAATAGTCCTTGTTAACAGAGCGGAGGCCGAGGTGGTAGGACGGAGCCGCGCTTCAAGACTTGTGATCAAGAAAAGATGTCAGAGGCCCAAGGAGTTACCCCCGGGTAGGTACTCCGATGCTCAACTCAATAGAAGGTGATGGATGGTCGGGCCAAGCAATATGGGTGTTGGTCCTAATAGAGTGACAATAGGTGCTGGAAGTTGGGATCCTTTACCTTGAGCGGGAGATACCTCTTTATAACCGAAGGTCCGTGTCTTGGTCGGGTTGGGCTTCCGGGGTTGTCGGGATGAGGTTAACCGCCAAGGTTTTTGGGATAGAGTCCTATTCCCCAGCGGAGTTGTCCTCCTTCCTCATTTTATCTGTAGTCGTATTTATCCGCATGACTTATAGTTGACGTGGCTGAGAGGATAAGATGGGGGGCTACAGTAATAGCGTAGCACGACCACTACCGCGACCGCGAAGTCGGTGTATGCCACTAATCTGAATGGGCCATGCTGATGTGGAAGGGGATGATTGGACGATGATTGGGCGGCCACCTATAAACCGCATCCTACATGTGAATTTGGTATCAATTCACAGTCACGATTCATCCCCTGTACGATGGGGCTAGAAAACTATGAACTAGGCTGATCAGTCATTCTCCTTTTCCTTAAAATCGACCCCACGTCTCCACTCTAGGTCACGTACCATCTCAACCACTGGATCACCAGACCACCTATGAAAAAAAAAAAAAAAAGATACCAGGGTTAGGGTTTAACTGTTTAAGCGCTTAAGGGCACAGGCCGTCGTGCGTGAGTCAAAATTTTCTCATCCGGTGGTTGAGATGGTACGTGACCCAAAGTAGAGACGTGGGGTTGACTTTAGGGAAATGCAGTTTTAAGGGTGTTCATCAGTTCATGGTCCGGTTTGGAAAAGATTTTACACCAAATTAGTAAATTAGGTTTGAAAAATTTTCAGACTAAATCGGACCATTATAATATAGAAACCAAACCAGACTAAACTACTCTATTAGAGTTTGATTTGGTATCTAATATGGTTTGGGCCATTTTATTGAACTTAACCCAATTATAAATCCCAAATAACATGAATACCAATATCAATAACAGATATAGTTCATATATTATAAACAATTCCTTGAACATCAAATTATAAGTTAAAAATTGAAAATGTTAAAAAAATATATACATACAAACATATATATTAGATACATTAATAAATATATTATTAATAATTCGGTTTAATATGATTTATAGTTTGGTCTTAATTTCTAAAATTAAAAGTAAAATACCAAACCAAAAAAATAAGGTTAAGAAATCGTCCAGCCAAATCAAAGCATTTTAAAGTCAGCCAAACCAAACCACCAATTTCAGTTTGGTTTAATGCAGTTTTACGTAGACATATAAATGAACACCCTATGCAAGCTGTCCATGATCATTTTGGTCCAGTTAGATCTCATCACATGCGCCCTGCTCTGTCTCCAGCACCCAACAGCGGCACATCGGAAACATTGATAATCTGATGTACACAGGATGTGGGTCAGCAGATCCGATGGACATAATTTATTAACATTTGATGGACACGTGGAGGCATTTTGGGACATCAACCCAAACCGAAAAGAACAAGAAGGTATGGGATCATTTAAGTTTGGTTACTAATTAGATAGGTGGAATATGGTGGGTAAAATGGATACATAAAGATTCACATGTCAGTCACCCCACTTCTACTATATATATATATATATATATATATATATATATGATACACCCATCTGGATCGCACCAAATACATCTCACAAATAGAAATTCCAATGTAATTACTTGCTCTCGCTTGTTTTTCTTCATCTTCTTAATTCCCAATAGAATACCAAGATGAATGGGGTGGGCCGTCTTGATGCCCGAATTATCAAGCGGATTCAGATGTTGAACTGTTAAGCCAAATTGAAATGTGTCAGTGGTCCCCGTGGTCGTGTGTGGTTTAAATTGTGTGTGTGTCTCTCTCTCCTTTCTTTTTTCAAGAGGGCTTCACAAGACGGGGTTAGCTTTAAATTGTATCTCTTGATATCACCGACGGTCAACTAGCTAGGTTAGGTTCAATTAAATTTAAATCTGCAGTCAAGAAACATCGTCATTCGTCAATCATCAAGTCGACTGCTGATGACATAAAGCGGGATGGATAAGCTTAGCAATTGGCAATGCCAACTATCAAAAATTCAAAATTCAAAAACAGCTATATAACTCTTCTTTCTTAAATGACATAGCCAATTAACTGTGTATTGATCGTAACAGAAGCTAGCTAGCCTCCTTTAGTTTAATTAATTGTTTCCTTTTCCATCCAAATTGGTGCTCAGAGTCCACCCTTGACGTTCTCTTTCTATGTCCTTGCTCACATTTTCTTGGTGCAAGTATGCATTTAGTATGGTTGGGTAACAGTTGCCCACTCACATGGAATTGGAATTTCTTCATGCCCCACCTAGACCAACTCCAAACAACCCCCTCCCTCTCTTTTTTCCTTTTAGCCATGCAATTTCTCTCAGGTTGCTGAGTCAAAAGCAAATCTTGGATTAATGGTTACAAATAACACCAATCTCCAGTGGACTCAACTGATGAGACAATTAAGTATTTATTCTCACTGCGAAAATGATTTAGAGTTAATTGACAGACACATATTGGTGAGCGTTGAGTTGTTGATAGACAGATGGACCGATGAAGACGGCAACCCTCAAGCGTCTTCAATTCGCATTTACAACCAACTGGATTGTGCCTATATAAACCGCAGTCAGCTCATCAACAATATCAACATCTGTCTCTCTCTCTCTCAAAAACAAAGACAAAGACGCACATATATGGAGCTCTTGGTAGTAGCGACTGTTCTTGCTCTGTTCTACGCCTTGTTCCTCCTCTGGAGGTTGGCTAATCAATGGAGAGGTCAGGACTGCTATATACTTCATTATGAGTGCTACAAGCCCACTGACGACAGAAAGCTGGACACCCAGTTATGCGGCAACATCATCCATCGCAACAAGACTCTTGGCCTGGAAGCTTACAAGTTTCTGTTGAAGGCCATTGTCAGTTCCGGCTTCGGTGAAGAGACTTACGGGCCCAGAAATGTCCTCCAAGGCCGAGAAGAAACCCCTACCCTTGCGGATGGGATGTTGGAGATGGAGGAATTCTTCTTCGACAGTCTGGACAATCTCTTCTCCAAGACGGGAGTGTCTCCGTCGGAGATCGACATACTTGTCGTCAACGTATCCATGTTTGCTCCAGAGCCTTCTCTTGCAGCAAGGATTATTAACCACTACAAGCTGAGGGAGGACATCAAGGTCTATAACATATCAGGAATGGGGTGCAGTGCTAGCCTCATTTCCATAAATCTCGTACAGAGCATCTTCAAATCTCACAAGAAAGCTTTCGCGGTTGTTGTGACATCGGAGTCTATTGGCCCACACTGGTACAGCGGAAATGACAAATCCATGATTCTGGCCAATTGTCTATTCCGGTCGGGAGGTTGTTCAATACTCTTAACCAACAATCCCAATCTAAGACACAGAGCCATGTTTCGACTGAAGTGCCTCGTGAGGACGCATACCGGTGCCAACGATGAGGCCTATGGGTGCGCAATTCAGCAGGAAGATGCCATGGGGAGGCCGGGGTTTTACCTGAGCAAGAACCTCCCCAGGGCCGCTACTCGAGCCTTCGTAGAAAATCTCAGAGTTATAGCACCCAAGATTCTACCCTCCAGGGAGTTACTACGTTACGTGATAGTATCACTATCACGCTTCCTTCCAGGATGCAAGAAGGACGGTAGCTCTAGCACCGGCGGCAAGGGTGCGGGAGTGAAAGTAGGCGTCAACTTCAAAACCGGAGTCGACCATTTTTGTCTTCACACAGGCGGAAAGGCGGTTATCGACGGGGTGGGGAGGAGTCTGGGGCTGACGGAGCATGATGTGGAGCCGGCGAGGATGACATTACATCGATTTGGTAACACGTCGGCGAGCAGCCTCTGGTATGTTCTGGCATATATGGAGGCGAAGAAGAGGCTGAGGGAAGGAGACAGAGTGCTGATGATAAGCTTTGGAGGAGGCTTCAAGTGCAATAGTTGTTTATGGGAGGTTGTTAGGGATCTGGAGGGTGACAACGTGTGGAAGGAATGCATCGCCACTTACCCTCGAAAAACACTTGTCAATCCGTTCATGGACAAGTTCGGTTGGATCAATGACCAGACGGAGGAGACGTTTAGAAGCAACGAAAGCCTCCATCTCCAGATTCTCAATTCCCATATTCAACCAGCTGCAGCTTAACAATCATTCATTCTCTCTATTTAGTATACGATAAGTGTGCCATCAATTAATTCTTGTAGCTCCTCTTGTCTGTGTGAAGTGTGAACTGTGAAGCGATATATATATATATATATATATATATTTATAATTTGGGAAGCGATAATCGATGATCATAGTGGGAATTTTAAACTTATTGCCATTTAGTGCTCCAGCTTTGTTTTTTAATTAATCAAATGTATTTATTCTCATTTTATTTTTGCATGTGTTTTTCTTTCGTACCAATTATCACACAACACGTACGCCTTAAAATTAATCACACAACAATGAGAGATTTTTGAAGCTTTACGCAACATTCAAAATATCGATACACCGTATTTAGGGGTGTCAACTGTATTCAAAAATTCGATTTCGAATTCTATATTTAATATAATCGAATCGAATTCAGATAATAGTAATATTTAATCCGTTGAATTTGATATTCTATTCTTACCAAATAGTTAATCGGATTTGAATTCAGATATGACCTGATCCGATTTGATAAATATCCAAATTCAATCGATTATTTAATTCTTATATATAATATATGAAATATTTTATATAATTTGTATATAATAATTACGTTATATAAATAATTTATATATTTATATACTTTATATCAATAAATTATTTATTTTATATATTTATTAATTATCTAAAATAATTAATTAATCAAATTCGAATTGAATCGAATATTTGAATATTTAATCGGATTCAAATTCAAATATTAATTTTCAATATCCGTCGAATATCAAATCGAATTTGGATATCGGATTTTCTAGTCGGATTCGAATTCAGATATTGCCTGATCCGATTCGAATTCGATCCGTTTACACCCCTAGCCGTACTTAAAATAATAAGCTTTTATGTTTTTTTTAGTTTTTTTAAATTTAGTTTTTAAAACTATTTTTAATTATATTTTTCGTTAAAAGAGGTCAATTCTTGAAACATTTATACATAGGCGTATCGTTTATCGTGAAATCACCTATACACCTGATATAGGGTATATTGGGTATATCGCATCAAAATTTTGAACCTTCCCTTCGGGTAAAGTAGGGGTGCTCACGGTTTGGTTAACCGATGTCACAGGCACATCCCATACAAGTAGGGGGACATGTTGCGGATGTGCGATTGGAAGTAGGGGTGCTCATGGTTTGGTTAACCGAATCGTGGGGTATTTTTTTCAAACCGAACCGATCTGATCGGTTTTTTAAATATTCAAACTGAAATCGAACTGGTGCAATCGGTTAACCGGTGACCATGGTTCATTTTTTTGGTTTTTTTATGCACTTAAAATAAAAAAGTAACTAAAACTGTCGCAATCGGTGGTTGCTGTCGGTGCCAAACTGGTTGGTGCCAATGGTTGCTGTTAAGTGTTGCTTGAAGTGAGAGCTTGAGACTTGAGAGATGGCGCCTAGCGGAGATGCAAAGAGGAGAGGTGAGAGAGAGAAGAGAGATATAGATGGTGTTGGATCGTTGGTGCTTGCTTGCCGGCGAGGCAGCAACCGGCGTTGCCGCTTGGTGCTTCCGTGCTGGTGGTTGGCGTGGGCCGCGTGACAGTCTGGAGTGAGGAAAAGGAAGACTCGAAGAAGACAAGAAGTTAGAAGAGTAAGAGAAAAAAGAGAACAGAGATCTGAAAGAGTGAAAAGAGACAAGAGAAAAAGAGACTAAGAGAGAAAAAAGAGAAGGGGCAGTCTGGGGAAAAGACAAGATTGCCGATTTTCAAAAGAAAAAGTCGGTAGGCTAAAAGTCTCTCAGACCACTGAATTCGATTTTTAATATATATATATAATATAATATAATATTATATAAATATATATACTAGTGTATATATATCGATCGATTCGGTTAACCGCTGGTTTTTTTAAATGGTTAACTGAAACCAAACCAAAATTATCAATTTTTTGTCAATTCGGTTTCGGTCGGTTCAATTTTTCGGTTTTTTTTTCCTCACCCCTAATTGAAAGTGTATAATGAGGTCGGTGTGTGGAGCGCTCTGAATAGCAGATAGGCAAATTCTCTTTTGCTACGATAGTGTCCTAGCACATGGCTAAAAATATCCTTCGATTTATTGTTGCGGTAGTGTGTCACCACCAAGATCTCATCTCATTTAATTCAACGTGGGACCACATCAATAAATCAAAGGCTTTTATTTTATTGTTTCAGTGCAAAGCTATACATTGTGTATCAAATGTGATAATACAAAAATGTCCCATGAAGTTTCACACAATCATAAAAACCTTCCCTTTTGTTTCATTTTAACAAACACCTCCTCTCTGAGATTTTAAAAATCTCAACAAAAACCTTCCTTTTGTCACTAAACCAAATGGAAAACGTTATATTGATACATCAGTTTTTTCAAAAACTTATTATACATTTTTGTAAATGATTTTAAATACAAATTATAGAAATAACCCTATTTGAAACTCAATAAAAACCTCCCTTTGACTTCTTAATCCTCGTTCAATCTCCCATCATCCCTAAACTCTATTGACTCAAAAAGAACCCTGGCTGAAACTCCACCATTTGAAAAGGAGGAGAGGAACCCTGAAAGCTTTGCTATACCCTTCACTTGCCGGAGCACCTCAAATAGCACTTGACGTTCAAAGCCTTCCCTTGACTTGTCGGAGCTAGCACACCCTCTGGAAAAAATCCCTCCACGATTTCATGGCCGTTAGTTCCGTTCCATCGTCTCCATCTCTGCAATTCAATATTGTATCCAACAAGGGTACCCATCCCCAACCTCTTAATCCCCCCAACCCCGATGGCATCGGGATTTCATCTCACGTCTCCTCTACAAACAACCAAAGAACTTACAATCTACCAACTAAACTGCCATCATTTGGTTACAACAAAGATTAAATCTCTACACTCTTCACCCATTAAACTTTCAAGTTATAAGTTGTAAGCAGAGTTTGGAGGTTGAAGCACCTTCCTCCCTCTCGGCTCTAGTTTTTGTTCTTGTTCTTCTTCTCTCTCTCTCTCTCTCCCTCTCTCTCTCTCTCTCACAATTCCAAGCTGAACTTGAACCTATCCATCGTTTAAAAAGAATTCAAAAATTTTTAATCAAAATATCAAGCAAATAATAGCCCATAATATTTCATTGTTATTATTGTTTTAACTTCCCACCTTCCTTCAATCCCTACCTCATCAACTGTATGCAACCAAAATTTCAATTGGAATAGAAAAAAGGGGGAAAAGAAAAAATAAATTCTTCAAGAATAAGAGAGAGAAACAACAAGAGAGAGATGTTTCATGAAAATATAAACATACTAGTCAAGATATCCATGCATCTATCATGTTATCTTTTACGATTTTTCTCGTTTCTAATGTTTCAACATCTCATATGGGCCTTCTTCTTCAAACTCTCGTTCTTCTTCTCACCCTCCCTTTTTGATCTAGGAATCTCCCAAACTTATGTCTCATTAGGTACACGTAACCATACCGAAAATAGTCATCGGTGAAAGTTATAAAGTAAGAGTATGGTTTCGTGTCCTAACATTCATAGGACCACATACATTAGTATGTAGAAGGTCAAGTGTGTCCGTACATTTTTCAAGCTTACCTATAAATGACCTTTTTGTTCACAAGTTGGTAGATCTACTGTGAGAAAATTTAGAAGACCATATTTCACTAGTCTTGTGATACGTTCTTTGTTTATATGGCCAAGTCAGTAATGCCACAGACATGTGAGATTAATCGTTTATCGTGTTTTTTTGTTGGGGGTGTGTTCTATTATTATTTCGGTCACATTTATTTCTAGAGTAGGGTAGATAATATAAAGATCATTCTTAAGTTCTCCATGAGTAAAAAATTTGTTATTCAATTTTACTATAATCTTATTACTAAATAAAATAGAATAACCATCCTTACAATACTTAAAAACTGAAATCAATTTTCTTCTAAGTAATGGAACATGAAAAATCTTTTAAAGTAATAGTTGCTTCTCTAAATACTAAATCTAATGTTATTATAGCAGCAACTACAACGGTTGTAGATGTACCCAAGTAAAGCACGACCTCGTTATCATTCAACCTTCTGCTTTCCTTGAACATTTGCAATGTATTACATGCATGAGTAGAAGCCCTAGAGTCAATACACCAGGATGCAGAAGTGACCAACATATTGGTCTCTATGACTTGAATTTCGAAATTACCTTCTTTCTTCTTCCTGAGGGATTCCAAATATTGAGGACAATTCTTCTTCCAGTACCTGGCCTCCTTATAGAAGTGACATTTATCTAAAGACTTGTCTTTTTTCTGCTTTTTTTGCTCGCTACCCTTCTTCTATGGCCTCTTCTTGCCCTTTCATTTATTCCTGCTAGATTTGTCTCTTCAACAAGCATGTCCACTGGCTTATCCTTTTTTACAAGTTCCTTGGCTCTCTGCAACACTACCGAGCTCTTGCAAGTTAGTTGTTAGCTTGTTCATGTTGTAATTCATGACAAACTAATTAAATTATGTGCACAAAGAGTTTAAGATGGTGTTAGTTTTGGTGTCATCATCTAGCTTGGAACCAAGAGCATCCAGTTCATTGATAAAACCTATCATCTTCATGACATGGTCATGAACTAGTTGGTTTTCGATCATTCTGGTGGTTCTTCATCAACAATTTGAGGACCTTTTGCTGTGTAGAGCAATTTTGCTCCTCATAATTGGTCTTTAAACTATTTAGAATATCTTTGCAGTTTTCTACTTTGTCAAACTACCTATGGATAGATTTTTAGTGAGGCAATGATGTAATACTAGGCAAGAGAGTTTTTCTCTTCTCATTCTTGGTATTCCCTTCTTGTTGCCTAAGACTCTATCAGGGGGTGTTCTAGTGACGAGTTGGTGGAAATTTTGTTCAATTTCTAGGACGTAAGAACCATGTTAAGGTTACGAAACCAGTTTGCGTAGTTTGGCCTCTTGAGTTTGTTGTCGTTTAACAATTTAGCAAACTATTCGTATGCCATTTCTATCAAATAGCACGAATATATTAGTCTATGACCTAATAATTGTTTCATATTATGTACTGTAGAAAGGACTTTTATCTACATTCAAATTCCATTTGTTCATCTCTTATTTTTCCCTCTATCTTAAGGATGGAGATATTTTTAATATCTCTAAAAATGTGGGAAATCACATAGGTGCATGGGGTCAACTGTTTCGGCTGTAT